TAATAATAATAATAAAGCTGAAACACTTTAGTGTTGATAATAATAATAAACCTGAAACTTTAATGTTAATAATAATAATAATAAAGCTGAAACACCTTAATGTTAATAATAGCACACCTGAATTTCCTTTCCTACATGGAAGAGAATGGGTCTTTGGAATGTTGGATAATGTCATTCCACAGGAGGAGAAGAATTACCCTATCACTGACAACAGATTTTCCCATAGTTGCATATGCCTAGTACTGGAGCCATCTCAGCAGTGAGCCGTAACAGAAGCAGAGAGTATAGCAAGTTCATAGCTATTGTAGTTTTAGATGGAATTATTCAGGTTGTAATTTCTCACCCTGCCTCTTTCCCCAAATCAGTATTTTAGTGCATTGAACACAAGAACGGATTCTTCTGCAGCTTACACATGTTTCCTGAGATGGAGGAGCCTGATCATTTCAAACATTTTGGGAGGGTCATGGAGAATACAGGCTGAGAGGGTGTTCCAAGAGTGCAACTGGTCTTATCGGGCCCTTTTAACTAATTAAATAATGTTTGATCACATCTGAAACATTCATAGGGGAAGCACAATGCTTGAAACATAGTGAACACTCAATAAGTATTCGCTGATATTATTGAAATTGGTGTCACTCCACCTGGGTCTTCATAAATAATAAAGTCAGGTGGATGAACTGAACCTACAAAACTGTTTCTTACCTTCCAGTTCGTACAGATAGATTTTGGCCCAAAAATCTCAGTAAGTAAGAAGGTCCGTGGTCCCAAATGCAAGTAGCCGCCCAGGCCTCAGCAGATTTTGCAAGATTTTCATCCCAAACCTATAGAGGGAAGAATCTTTAGTTTTACCGGCTTTGCTAGCAACGAGCAAAGCTTAAGGAAAGAAACAATGCGACTATTTTCTGGAATTAATTAATTCTGGTTTCTAAGGCTATTTTAACCAAATGAAAGCAAGTTCACACCATTGTTACTCAACGTTCTATAAAGCAATAGAAGTCGCAGGGCGGTGCGAATGGTTAAGTGCTCAACTATTGTCCAACTGTTGACGGTTCAAACCCAGGCCTAGTGATCTGCTTCCAAAAGGTCACAGACTTGAAGACCCTACAGAGCAGTTCTACTCTGCACACATGGGGTCACCATGAGTTGGAATCAACTCAAAGGCAACCAGCAACAACATGAAGCAATATGGTTATGCCACATGAAAACCTTACTACCTTTGCAACGCCACCTACTGTAGATTCAAAGTCCAGACAGCAGTTTTAGTAAAGGATTTTATCAGTTGCCTTTGAGTTGGTTCCAACTCATGGAGACCCCCCCACGTGTCAGAGTAGAACTGTGTGACGTAGGAGATTCAATGGCTGATTGTTCAGAAGCAGATTGTCAGGCATCTCTGAGTGAACTTTGAACGCGCAACCTTTCAGTTAGCCCTTTAACAAGTTATGTATATTTGTTAAAGAGAATACTTTTTCACTGCTTCATAGTTCAATGGCATAACATTATTTGTTACTTACAATATTTTTATGCTATTATATCTAAAAAAAATGTTTACACTGTGATTAGTCAATGGTTGACCACATATTTTAGAAAGGGAGGATTTATATGCAGAAAGAAGGAGGGACAGTTTTCTAATTACTCAAATTCACATGGAGCTTCATGAGAAGACATATAGATGTCCTTCTTTGATCTTGGTTCTCCTAATTTCACGTTCTCCCTCATTTTGTCATTCTTTTGGTGACGTTCCCCACCAGCAAGTTGTGTGGAGCTAAGCAAGGCTTGCCTAAATTAAGGTTCATAACCAGGAGCTCACTATCAGTTTTCGCCCTCTAGCAAACGTGTGGGACTGCTTGATCATAACACTAAAAAGGCCTTCATTTATCCCCAAGGATAATGGGACACATAGCTTTATTTAGCAGAAGAGTGTATTTAAGTCACAGAAAATTTATTTAGTGACTTTGAACTAAAATAGAAAACAAACATACAAACAAAAGAAGTGAAGTCAAGAGACACTTTCACCCCAGCAGGCCACAGCAGCTAACTTCAAAAGAGATTTGTTATTTAGTTACTCAGAATTTTTATTGTAATTAGAACATAAAATAAGCTTACATACGTTGATGCAGTTTTGCATAAATATAAACTCACGAAGTCTATATAAAATCAAAACGGTTTAGCATGGGTCTAGAGGAATTCTGGAGTCTCTGGGTGTTGCAAACAGTTAAGACACATGCCTGCTAACCAAATGGTTGGAGGTTTGAGTCCACCCACAGGTGCCTCAGAAGAAAGGCCGGGCAATCTACTTCTGAAAAATCATCATTGAAAACCCTAGGGAGCTCAGTTCTAATGTGACACATGTAGGGTCATTATGAGTGAGAATTGACTTGGGGGCAGCTGGGTTTTAGAGAAATTCGATGGTGACAGTGTCCACTTTTCCACTGCCCGTGTTAAAGAAAAATTACCCAAAAAGCTGTCCTGAACGATCCAGAATATAATCTGCTTGTCTTGCAGATTAAATTAAATGTGGTAAAACAGCATGTGATTCCTCTTTAATAAATACATAATCAATGTTCAATACACTGTCAAAAATGGAAAACACTCATTCTAGAAAATTTTAAGAACTACTGTCTAGTTCTTTACATGTTTGTCTTTTTTCTTCAGTTGATATTATGACATTTTTGTAATTATGAAAAAAAGGTTTTATACTGTTTCTCATAGTTAATTACTTAGCTCAGTAAAATAAGCATTGATAAATTGTACAAGTTATTAATTAAGACATCTTTGTTTTTCCTGTAAAAATATGGACAAAATATATCAATGATGCAAACTATATACTGAAAATCGTAGTATTCAAGGACTGAAATTAACTTAAAAAGCATTTTTTTCCCCTGCTGATATTGTGTTTTTCTGTATTTATTCTTATGTTGATACTTTTTGAAGTATTGATGAAATATAGATGGCAGCTCATGAAAAACAAAAAAAAAGAAACCCAGCACAATTAATCCACAGAGGAATTTCAGATGTAATAGCATCAACAAATAACAAATAATGTTCCCTAAAGGTTGTTATTGGAAGGATGGCGCAGGATCGGGCAGTGTTTCGTTCTGCTGTACACAGGGTCACTGTGAGTTGGAACTGACTCCATGACACCTGACAACAACAACAACAAACCCAGAAACAAAGCTTCTTTGCTGATTGTGTTCTCTTAGAAAGAAACACATACAGGCGTGATTTACAGAGTCACACGATTTATATATTTGTGAGTGTGCATTCCGATAAATAACTGACAAAAACACTTGCATGTACTCTTGTCCTAAAATAGCCTCATAAAAATCAGTTGCCCTCAAGTCCATCCTGACTCATCATGGCCCCAGGTGTGTCAGAGTAGAACTTTGCTCCGTTGGGTTTTTAACTGACTGATGTTTTGCAGAGCATGACAAGTAACGCTGCCTGAGACTCAAGAGTATTGTGTTCTAATCCTGATCTACCGCTGAGATCGTCTGTGACTGAGAACATGTCACTTACTATCTCTGCCTTTCAGTTAGCTCATCTGTTACATAAATAGGTTGGATGAGGTCATCTTTAGGTTTCATCTGTACCTTCTCGTTATTTAAATATACCTGAGAGGCCTCAGCATCGGGACCAGAAGAGTTAACTTATATTGGCCTATAGCTTGCATAGTTCCAACCCTTTCCGTACCATAGAGAGAGTCAATCTGGATTATTTTCAAAATAATTAAAAATATTTAAGGCATTTAACAATTTAAGATGGAATTTAGCATATATAACCCTATCTTTGGTGTTCCTGGGCGGTGCAAACAGTTAATACTCCTGACCGCTATTGGAAAGGTTGGCAGTTCAAGTCTACCCAGAGGCGCCATGTACTTCTGAAAAATCAGCCATTGAAAACCCTGTGGAGCACAGTTCTACTCTGACACACTTGGGGTCGCCATGAGTTGGAGTCAACAGCAACTGGAATAAGAAGAATACTATCTTTATACTCTTTCACATCATTAAAAATTAAACATTGTGTATGTCAAAAAATAAACCAAAAAGTTAAAGTTAGGAAAATATCTTATAATTGCATCCTTTGTTGACTTTGTTAAGAGGGATTTTGATACAAAGAAAATGTGGTAAGTATTACTGATTCTCAAATAGGTTTTCCTATGTACAAACATCAGAAACAAAATTTTGGAGAATATATTGACTCAGTGGCTGGTGGTGGGGGGAGAGGTAACCTCTTTCTTTCTCCCCCATGTTCTCTTTTAGGGAACTAAACCAGTTCTGTTAAGTCAATTCTGACACATGGTGACCCCATGTGTGTCAGAGTAGAATTGTGCTACATAGGGTTTTCAATGGGAAGAAGATCGCCAGGCCTTTCTTCCGAGGCGCCTCTGGATGGACTCAAAATGCCAACCTTTTGGTTAGCAGCCAAGTACGTTAACCACTTGTCTGCCTCTAGCCCCCTAAAGAAAATTGCTGGAGAGTCAGACAGGCTCCCACAGACAGTGGGTCACTTGGCCTCCGTGTGGGAGACGAGACCCACTCACTTCCTGTGATGCCCACTTCTGGGAAAGGTCAAAAGTCACTGCACTCTTTCTTGTCTTTTTGTCCCCGGGCAGAATTCACACCTATCTCCTAGAGAGAGGAAGTCCTACCTGAGCAGGGAACGCTGAAATTTGGGGATGGCGTTGTATTCACTGGTAAAACTGAGACATGCATTTGCTAACTCTGTCTTTCTCCATTGGTTGAACTCCTAGGAGAAGATGGGTAGGTGATTTATCTCCTTGATTTCCAGTAGCATTTGAATTTATTAATATGTTGAGGTGCTTGAGGTTTGAAAATAATAAGCAGTGATAATTTTATTTAACAATTATGGGAATTTGCAACAAAAACTTTGGATTCTCTAAGAAGTGGACCAATATGAAGTATTCTTTCCTATCCTGGATGTCAGAAGTCCTTCAGGGGGGCAAACGTTCAGCACTGGACTGCTAGCCGAAAGGCTGGCAGTATGAACCCACTCAGGGGCGCCTCAGAAGACAGGCCAGACAATCTGCCTCAGAAAGGTCAGCCTTGAAAATTCCGTGGAGTACAGTTCTACTCTGACACACCTAGGGTCACCATGAGTCGGAATCAACTTGACGGTAACCAGCAACATTAACTAGCAGAAGGTTTGGTGGTTCGAACCCACCCAGGGGAGCCTTGGAAGACAGGCCTGGCAATCTGCTTGTGAAAAGTTACAGCCTTGAAAATGCAGTAGAGCAGCTCTACTCAGCACACATGGGGCTGCCATGAGTCAAAAGAATCAGAAATATTAATTTTAAAAACCAAAGTAAATTCTGAAAAGTCTATTCTGCACATGAAAATCACCCTCAAAGACATAAAATACTACCAATACAAATATCACACTTTAAATTTTTGGAGATTTCTAAACTGATTCTTGTCACAAATGCTGTGAAAGCAATGGCATTGGAGACAGCATGGCATGTCCTACAGACGTTTATTTTCTTCAGCATTTATGTGATCATTCCTCATATAGCCTGTAAAAAGTAAGGGCATTTTACATAAACAAGCTTTTTTTTTTTTCCTTTAAATAACTTAGCTTGGGATAGTTAATCTTTTTCTGAGTTAGTCAGATTGGGAAAGGAGTGCCGATTTACAGAAGTGACAACAGCCATTAAAAAAATTAAGCAATGACAAAATTATTTCTCCTGAGGGAAGCCAAAAGGTTTTAAAACACTCCATAGGCATGACTGTGGTTCAGTTTTAATATGAGTGGATTTATCCCCATCAAACAGAAATGCCGGCGAAATGGCCAGTAGAGAAAACTG